CGAAGAGAGAATTTGGACCCCGAGGAAGCTTCTACCGGCCTACAGGGAGAGTGCCCCAAAAGAACTACAGAGGACCTCCCAACAGGGCTCAACAGTTCATTTGAATGCTCTGGAGTCCCCTGCGGATCAGGAGAAGCGGGCCCTGAGGCAGTTTATGCGGGTCGACTGTGGGGTGTATCAATGAGAAATATGTCTGAAGGGGAGAGGAAACTTTTGGCCCCTCTGGTGGCGAACGTAACGCGCAGTCTAGAACGCATGCAAGTGAACCGTGCAGTGGCGGCTCTGATGGCGGGTAGCCGGCATCTGCAACAGCAGCAGCAGCATCAAGGAGGCACTTTGTCCGTTAGCTGCGTCAAAACCCTTCTGACGCTGCTGCACCCAGTGGCCCCCTTCATAACCGAAGAGCTGTGGAAGCGCCTAGCAGCAGAATATCCCGCCGCTTTTGCCTTTCCAGGGTGGACCCTTGCAGCCTCAGGCGAGTGGCCAACAACCGAAGGAGAAGAATTCGAGAAAGACAAAACTGCGGAAGATAGCCGAAAAGTTCAGGTATCTGTACAGTTCAACGGTCGGCACAGGCTCTCTGTGCCGCTTTCCGTGACAGAGATGAGCACACCTAGCAATCTCTTAGAAGCCGTGAGACGGCTTCCCTCGGTGCAGCAGCGGCTGCAGCTCGAAAATGACAGGGGCAAAGCCCTTTCTCGGGTTATATCGAAGCCCGAGGCCTGTTTGGTGAATTTCATCTTTGGTTAGTTGTGATCTTACGAGTGCCAAGGGATACATGCTGAGGTAGAGTCTCAGCGCGGCGTGACTGCAGCAGAACAGACTACACCGCAGGGCAAGCATAGCCCAGCTTACCACAAGCATAAGCCCCGTAGGGCTTCAAGCATCAGGTCCAGGGTTGTTAATCAATTATAGTTTTCTCTCATTTTGACGGCTGGTGAGTTCATGAGCTAGTCGCCTCAAAAAGGTGAAGGTATGTCTTCAGACGCCTGCATTGGTGTGCGAAGGATGCAAGTAACTACAGATAAGCCTTAATGAACTGGTTTCGACACAAAGCTGCGAGGAATCGCAGGCGGACGGTCACAGCGTGGGTCAAGTGTTGACTACACTGTACGGAGGCTGAGGGATTGCGGAATGTCTTCCCACCAAAGCTGGGAATATTTGTATTACTCCATCTAAGATTATGCTCTTTCGCCTTTTCCTTTAAAAGAGGTATTTTAAACTGTCGCCGACGCCTTCCTGTCCGTCCAAGAGGAACTGCAGCAATGAAGACCGCACTACAGCTAATGCCACTCCTGTGCCAACCCGCTCGTGCATTTGAAGGCCTTGCGCAGACAGTAATGCAGTACTGGGCTAGACCAAATGGGGCATATCCGCACAGTTGTTACCGGCGCAACATCAAGCTGTCACAGAAGTTTTTGAGGGCGTCCTACACTGCTCCTTCAGCCTTCCGTGAGGGCGCCACAAACAACGATAATCATGTCGAAAGGAAAACAAAATCTACCACTATTTAGTGTTTGCTCCATTTAAATTGCACTTTGAATTCTGGAGGCTAACACGCAAGAGCGGGCAAAAGCCGCACCCCACAGCGATTGGTGTCGCGGGGGCGGCTTGGTATGCAGTACGGGAGTTGAGACAGCAAGACAAAAAATTGATATACTTTGAATTCAGTGTCACGCTCATTCAGTTAAATTATAACGCGCAACGCAGAAGGCACTGACTAATACAACGCACTCTTCGAAGGCCCCGCCAGCCACGAGCTGGCAGACAGCCCCTCCTGGCTTAATCCATCTTGGGGTGTACTTGTTACCAGAAACACATTGTAAAAGGCAAAAAAATGAATCTAGTGTTAGTAGTACTTCTTACTTTGGTTGTTTCAACTGCTTAACTGTGTATTCCCCCCATCCCCTCGGCCGACGGAGCACCTCCCGCTCTGGCGTGCCGTCTCAGAAGAGACCCGGTGTCTATACAGATAAAAAGGCCTTTCGCGCCACAGTGTAAGTTTCGGCACTTGGCAATAGGTCTGTTGGCACTTGTGTTGTTTTCTAAAGGGAAACAGAATCAGACTGGCCTTAGCCTCTCCACAAGCTTGCAAGCTGGCGGCTGTCGATATCACCCGTGTTCGGAGGTGTTCCTCTGGTATATATTTGCATATATGCCCCTGAATCTTCCGCTGCAGTATTCTTCGGGTGGCTCTGCACGCACAAACAAGGGGGCACAGGACAATTACCTTCCAGAAACAGCAGCAGCAGCGGCAGCCTGCTGCTGCGCCGCCCTACAGAAAGCCTAGCCCACCTTGGCCAGTCCCCAAGATGTGTCTGGCGAGACAGAAGGAGCGCGTGATGCTGCTTCTGCTTTTGGCTGCTCTACTGAGGCAGACAGCAGACGCTTCGCAGCTCTCTACGCCCTCGTCAGCGGCGAAGGTGAGGCTCCTTGACTGGCTCCACACAGCGCCTTCACGAGTGAAGCGCTCTAACTTGTTAATAATGAGTTGCAATCAACGGGACGTGTTCTGGCACCGTGTGACCTATATTGGTGTGTCTCGCTTCAGAACGTCGGCCCTTTGCCTGTACCAGCTTTTGTCTCTCGCCCCCATGGCATCCAGGCGGCAGCGCCGGGAAGCTCGCAGGCATCCGCGTCACTACAGCAACAGGAGCCACAGCAGAAACGGGGTTCCTCTGCAGACTTCCTAAGGGCTAGAGCACCCCGCAGCAGCCGTCTGTTTGCGCAATCCCAGGTGCGGCCACGTGCACCCTCCCCACGAACATACAGCGCGCTCAAGCCTACTTGCACTTACCATCGACAGAAGCAACTGCAGCAGACGCGGCGGCAGAGACTTGCGCGTATTTGTTTCAGGATGGCTCTCGCCGTCCCCGCATACTCTGCACGGGCTTGGGCGTGGTGAGCGCTGCTGGAATTGGTGTTGAGACCTTCTGGAATAATTTGCTCAAGGGGGTTAACAACGCCGCCAAAGTTTCCGCCTTCGACGCCAAAGACATGGCCAGCCAAGGTACTCCAGCATACACTCTCTTTCTGCTGCATGTGTACATCGCATGCAGAGAACATACGCAGGCGGTGCATGCCGGCAGGTAGTAGTGCGCACTGGGAGTGTGTTTGCGGAGTGTGTTTGCGGCTCTGCGAAGAGTGCGCAGGATGAGGCAGTTTGTGCTTTGCCTGTTGACTAGTCATCCAGCACTGTGCTTGAGTCTTTTTTTGTCAGTTTTGTGGCTTGTGCTCCTGTCGCCTGTCTTCAGTGGCCTACGAGATACCATCCGATGCTTTCGACCCTAAGCAGTATTTTAGAGAGCCTAAAGACGCCAAACGAAACGACAGATACACCCAATTCGCTGTTGCTGCCAGCAAGTTCGCTATGGAAGACGCGGGTAAGTTGCAGCGAAAGACAAACTAACTGGCACAGTAATGAGGTCAACTGAGGCCGGCACACTGCAGCAAGTAGAGTAGCTTCAGCGGCCGCGGCGAAAGTTGACGAGTGGTGCTGTTCCGTACGAGTTCTCACAAGCTTATTTAGTGAATCTCCTCTGCGTGGTTTTCTGGCTCTTCTTTTTCTTTTGGGTCTTTGCCCATTCTCATCCAGACACGCGCACTTAAGTGCCTCCTGCGTGTCGCTCCTCCCGTCTACTCACGTTTTCGTGCCTCGCTCTTTGTGACTCTGTTTTTGCCTGCTGCTGTGTCTAACCATGCACTCTGGAGTAATCACAAAAGGTGCACTGGTGGATGGCTAACTTCACTTCAGTGTCTTGCTTTTGGAGCTTCTAGCTAGGCGTTGGTACATGGGGGCTGCTCTGTGAGCCGTCAAGGCGCCTTTCTTCTGCGCAAGTGCGGCTGCTGCTGCTGATCTGCCAGGTCTTGGCTCTCTGGAAGGTATCGACATGGAGCGTTTTGGTGTTGTCATCGGCTCGGGCATTGGGGGCCTAGGCTTCATGGAGCAGCAAAATAGAGTCCTACTCAACTCGGGGCCCCGCCGTGTGTCCCCTTACCTCATTCCTGCCATGATTGCAGTAAGGTTTATCTCTACGGCCACAGCTGCTGCTGCTATTCCCGTTTGCTGTGCTGATGCGGTTGCTTTTGGTGTGGATAGTCCGGGTCTCTTGTAACTGTAAAATTTGAGATTCGTGAAGGGGTTCAGGAGGTGTTCACGATAACTGATGGCGTGAACACTACTGATGAAGACAGACATTACACACATGTTGTCTTGTTGGGGGAATATTTTTGCGCAGAACACCGCACCTGCCCAGGTAGCCATTGAGATAGGAGCCAAGGGACCCAACCACGGTGCTGTATCTGCTTGTGCCACATCTGGACACGCCATAGGCACCGCAATGAGGCTTCTCCAGGTGCGGAGAAATGATGCAGGGCACGGATGGCTTGAAAGGACGCAGAGAGTCCCTTGAAGCCCCTTGAGGCAGCCGCAAAGGCGGGAGGAATAGGGGATGCAGAATGTTGCGGATGAAAACGGCACGAGTGTATGAGATGGCTTTTTTCATCCCGTTTTGCGCATACGCTGCAGTCTGGTGATGCCGACATTGTCCTGTGTGGTGGCGCCGAAGCTTCAATAACCCCCCTCTCGTTTGCGGGCTTCAACGCCTTGAAGGCTCTCGCACTGGGCTACAACGACAGACCCAAAGAAGCATGCAGGCCTTTCGACAAAAATCGATCCGGATTTGTAATGGGAGAAGGCGCAGGGTAGGCTGCTTCAGCTGTGGGCACTGTCTGCGTTGCTGCTGCAACAGGGTTGGAGCAGCTTGTAGTGCTGTTGCTCTTTGCGTCGCTGGAAGCTGCAGCAGGGGCCTAACTTGTTGTGCGACGATATCTGGCTTGCTTGTTATTGTATCTTCAGTGTAATTGTGCTGGAAACGGAGGAGCATGCAGTGCGACGTGGAGCCCCACACGTGTACGGGCAGCTAGCGGGCTATGGGGCTACTTGTGACGCCCACCATATAACGGCTCCTTCACCTGAGGGAGATGGTCTTGCTCGTTGCATGGAAATAGCACTGAAAGACGCGTAAGAAACAGCAACCGCACTGTGGCACGAGCTCACTGCACAGCCTCATTTACGGTGTAAGATTGGCGCTGGTCGTTGCTGTCATGCAGCAAAAGCTATTTGTGTTTCTGTAGCCTGTGGCACGAAAACTTTGAAAGCACAAACAGCTTCAACGTGAATAGCTACAGCAGTATCACAAGAGGTCTTGGGTGGCTGCTGCGTGTGCAGGGGCATCGCTCCCGATGACGTAGGGTATATAAACGCCCATGGTACATCAACGTTCTACAACGATAAGATAGAGACAATGGCTATAAAGAAGGTGTTTGGGCCGCATGCAACAAAGCTGCTTATATCTTCAACTAAGGTAGGAAGCAGCAACAGATGCCAAGACACGATGTGGCTGTTCGTGCAGTTGTTGGAGACGTGGTTTCTGGTGCTAAAGTTGCTTGATGTCCGTTTTTCGCGTCATGCAGCTGTAGCGGCAGATGGGAAGTGGCTGCAACTGAAAAAGTTTGGCTAACACGACATTTGTTAGTTGTTTTCGCGTGGAGGGACAACTGGTAATGCTACTCGTGCCCTGCTACTTCTGTTCCTTTCAGCCGATGACAGGTCACTGCTTGGGTGGCACTGCCGGGATAGAGACTGTCGTAGCTGCCAAGGTACTACAGACGGGAGACGTGCCAGCGACGCTGAATTACAGCACGCCTGACCCAGAATGCGATTTGAACTATGTGCCGAACAAGGCTGTCCACGTGGATGAGCCCCTGAAAGTGAGTTGCTTGTGAAGGCTGTTGTTGGTCCCAGCATACGTGGCTGCTTGCCTCTTGTCCTCACATTTGTTTAACGGGGCCACTCCATGTGCCTCCGTCTGCTGCAGGCGGTTCTGACTGACACCTTGGGATTCGGTGGTCATAACGCTGCGCTGGTACTGACGCCATATAAAAAGCTCTGAGACGCCGTTGCGAGCTCACTGCAGTTAGCTTGTTAATTGTTTTGGCTAGGGGTTCGTTTCGATCCCCCCACCTCATCAGAGACCAAGCTGCCGAGTCAGCCCTCGCCGACTGGCTGTGTCTTAATTCTGCGAGGATTAGCAAGGAATGCGACCCCGCAGATTCCAGTAAGGATGAGCATAGCTAATCTCAATCGAAGCACTGAAAAGCTACGGCGGTTACGTGGGTCCGACACGCACGGGCTTGTTAACTCCGAGCTGTGCGGTTCATCGAACCCATCACGTCCACTGTTGCAGCGCTAGGTGCACAGATAGCACATCTGTGGCAAGTAACACTTGCTGCGCATCTGGTGGTGCTTCCCCGCAACCCTTAGAGGCGGGCAGCTCTCCTGGGGAGCCTCTCTTGCGGGTGGACAGTTTGGCTTGCGGCGGCAGTGGCGCCGAGAACAATAAGTTGGGAGCGGTCCTTCTTGGAGAGCTTAAGCATGATAATGGCGCTACATATTTGTTTTTAAACGAGAAGGCGGACAGTAGTGGAAGATAATGATGAGGGCGTATGTAGCTGCCCTGCTTTTAGTGGATACAAAAGAGAAAAAAATAGCCTCACCGGTTGAGCGTAGAGCAGTGGGACTCTTGCATAGAAGAACGAAGTTATGTCTAGGCTCCATGGACCGACGTGGGGTCTTGCGCAAACTGATGCTGTGGCCTTCGATGGCGCTCGGTTTCAAGGGTAGGCCGTAATGATCATGGACTAAAATTTGTGCAGTGGACTATGCTGCCGCTGAAACGCTGCTCTGAAGGACTTACGGGTCCAAGGCTGTATCCTGCGAGTCTGGCGCGCTAACAGGACTGGTTAGTGATTGCTTGTCACTTAAGTCTAGTCACGCCAATAATATTCTTGACGAACTAATCTAATAACGAAGAAAAACCCTTTTTTGGGTACTTCAGCTCTACTGTGGCTCTCTACTACTAGCCGGCTACAGCGACTGAAAGGCTCCTTCATATGCAGCAGTTCCTATGCGGCGTGCCGGCAAAGTGAACATGAATGACAAGCAGATCAATGGCTGGCAGAACTAGTGGAGGTGACGCAACCGTAGGGACGGGGTGGATATAGGACCGGCTCGGCACCCAAATTCAAACAGCCTCTTCCGCAAAAGTATCACGCTGTATCTCTTCCTGTATCTTTTTGAAGGGTACGAGTTTACAGTTCAGTATATACACGAATTTGTATCTGCGTTAAATATCCAGTTATACACGAATTTGTATCTGCGTTAAATATCCAGTCCCCACAAGACTATGGACAATAGCACTCAGCATGCACAGTGCGGGCGAAGGCTGCTGCTGAGAGAAGGGCTGGCTTCCAACTGTTAAGCATTTGTTTGCTCATCATCAGATGTGGTAGATAGCGGTTACTTTCTGTCTTTCGGCTCTTTTCGTAAGTTGTTGAAGTCTTTGGATTCCGAACGGGACGCTGCAAGCTGCTACACCTGCACCCGGCCACGACCTGACCCTCCAGGGCTTGGAGTTCCCTTGCGTCTCGTGCTTTCCCTGATCTTATTCGGGTAGAGCAAAGCAAGGATTCCTGTATATTCTTTTTATGCCGGCCATACTCGCAGCGCATCTGCTTTGCCTTTTGCTCCTGCATAGTTGCTTGAGGCAGCCAGTGGCTGGGACGACCTTCATGCATGAACGTATGCGGATCCTTCAGTTGCTTTAAGGAGACTGAAGTGGCAAAATAAACCTACAAAGATGGCGAAGCGACGCCGCAGGAGCTCCTCTAGCGAAAGGGAGGACCGGCGGGCGCCTCCTAACTCGTCTGAGGGACCAAATGCGAAGTACGGGTGCGGCGTTTGTTCCTAGTTTCCCCTCAGTGGTAATAACCCGTAGGTCCTTCTAGCGTCTGCATATACGCTTCAGGTCGTCTTGTTGGATCATTTCTACGTCCAGGTAGCTTTTTCGACATTTCTGTGTGTCTGCAGAGAGACGAGTCAACCGACGAGCGTCCCAGCTGCTCGTCCTGTGAAACCCGTTACTGTTCAGGAATTGAGGGTGCGCATCTGACTGAGCGTGTCAAAATTTTTGGGGCCTGTTCCAGAGCAACTTTAATCCACTCTAAAGCGCATCGAGAGCTGTCCCTTGGACTTGCAGGCAGTGCTCTGAGCTCATGCTAATTGCATCGTATGGTTGTTTTTGCTCTCTACCCTCTCAGGCAGAACGAAAGAAACTCCTGAGCGAACATTTCGGTTACAGTAACGACAACAACCCGTTTGGTGACCGGCTTCTGGCTGAACCCTTCGTTTGGAAGAAGAAGAATCTGCTGCTGCAGGCAGCAGGAAAGAAGCACGCAACGACTGTCAATGCCCTACTCACAACATCCGTCAGCAAAGTGGTAGGTTGCGCGTAGCCATCAGTGCGAGGTCAAATATATGAAGCACGTGATTTCGTGTACGTGAGTCTCAACGTTTTTAAATATCGATATATTTGTCACCACGTGTGCAAGCTGCTTATTTCATTCGTATATTCATTCGCATACTTATAGATGCACATACATGTGTGTTTTGTACGGGCGCTTGCCTAGATGGTCCCCGTTCCGGGGCTGCAGTGACCTCCAGCAGGCACCTTGGAAAATTCGTTATACGCTGTTTGCAGCAAGAAATTAAGAGTGTGAAGAAGCGCAGGGAAGAAAGGGAAGCGGAGGAGCAGTTAATGCAGGCACAGCGGGAGGAGCTGCAGCGTGAGAAGGAGAGAGAGCACTTTCAGGACTACTTCGAGAAGGAAGAAGTCTTTCACCGGCAAATGCACATGAAGAAAACCGAAATAAGAGCCGAACAGAACAGAGAGCAGCCCATAGATTTTATTGTCAAGGGTCTACGTATGCTTAACGGGGAGCGATTTGAAAAGGTCTCAGTGCTACCGGTGCCGCCCCATGAGGTCTTCGATTGCTTCAACAAGGAACGTAAGGCAGCGGTGGCGCAGCTCAAGCTCTCTTCTTGTGTTTCACACACTGTAGTTGTCCGGAGTGTATTACTAGCATGTGTGTCTGCCGTCTGCTTGTATTCTGGTGCGCTGTTTCCGGTTTGTAGCCACGTTGCCGGGTTTTGTTGTTTCTGTGTGCTGCTGATGCAGCCATGACTGTCCAAATGATAGAGGAGATGCTGTCCGATGTGAAACTTCACATTGGAGTAGATACAACGGCGGTAGATAAGGACTACCAGGATTTTTGGCAAGCCTTGTTAGTGCTGACCAAAGATGCTCTTGAACGTGCTGAAAGAAAGCAAAAAGTGTTGGAAGAATTGAGGAAAAATTCGTCCGCGGAAGCTGCAGCGCAAGCTGCCGCTATCTTGGCGAATAATACTTCAGTGGGAGACGTGAGGGATGCAGACTCTGGCATTGCTGTAGGAGTAACCTCGGATATCACCGCCATCCTTAGCGGGAAATCGCCAGAGGAATTGGATGCCCTGAAGGAAGGTATCAAGCTGAAACTGGAGACAGAGGAGGATGTGGACACAGCGTACTGGGAGTCTATTCTGCAGAAGGTTCCTCTGTTCAGGGTATGCATCACTTAAAGGCCGTTGGGTCTGGCCTTCTTATTTGCTGTTCATATTTGTTTACCTTGCGGAGCCGTCGATACGCAGTTGTCTTTTCGCCGGTTGCTGGAGCGTTATGTGTACAGCAGGCGTATTCATATGCTTGCAGGCTCGTGCGATTTGTCTAGCGTACCACCAAAGGATTCTCCAAAAAGCTGGCGAGCTGGACCACCAGATGAAGTGCGAACGCGCAGAAGCAGAGGCAGCCTTGTTAAAGGCAAAGGCTGAGGAGGCAGGACTCACGGATGATTTGCTGGCGACAGAAGAGGAGGCTCGCCAGCAGCAGAAACTGCAGCAAATACAAGAGCAGGCTAAACGCATGGCTCGTGTTGTGGAGAAGGAAATAAATCCAGGTGCCGATGGGAGCTATTCTCCTGAGCTCGAGCCGTATGAAGATGAGGCGGAGGCGCCGAAACTCAGAGGGCCCTATTCCCCTTTACTCTACCCTTTTGACGAATTTCGCATGGAAACCAACATCTTACATCCAGATGAAGAACTTGAGCAAAGAATGAATGAAAGACGAATTGCTAAACACCGAGAACGCGAGCGGCGTCTGATTCAGCTAGGCCTTGATAAGGACAAAAACGAAAAGGAAGAAGAAGAAAATGACGACGAAATTCTTGACCCTGCAGCTAAGATTGTGACGTAAGTGATGGCGTTTGAGCAGAGTAAAGTTGATGCGTACGATTTATTCTTGGGATGACTGCAGGCCTTTGCTGTTTCCTTCTATCGCCCGCTACTTCTTTACCTTCAGGTACGAGGACTTCGTGCGCAAGGAACAGAAGAACGCAAGCCCAGATGAAGAGGTAATGGCCGACTCGTCGGAAATGAAGTTGAAACAAGTACGCTGCTGGGTAGCGGGAGTCAATGCACGGTCTTTCTGGGAGCGTTACTGGGAATTTTAGCAGCAGGAAGTGGAGCGATGTAGGAGGAACGCATTAGCGTGCTACGTAGCTCAGGGGATTTAGGCACTGCGGACTATTCCCATCATCGATTTGCACCCATTGCTTTTTGCTTGCTGTGTGCAGCACTACGGATGGGAGGAAAAGTACCGACCTAGAAAGCCACGGTTTTTCAATCGCGTGCGCACGTGTTACTTTTGGAACAAATATAACCAGACTCACTACGACCACGACAATCCTCCACCTAAGATAGTGCAAGGGTACAAATTCAATATATTTTATCCCGACTTGATCGACAAGACCAAGACGCCTACGTGGACGCTCGAACCGTCAGACACGCCGGATACGATCATTGTGCGGTTTCATGCGGGTCCGCCGTACGAAGATGTGGCATTTAAGGTTTTGAACCGTGAATGGCATTTAGAGAGGTTTAGGGGTTTCCGAAACGTTTTTGACCGCGGCATCATGCAGCTGTATTTCAGCTTTAAAAAATACTGCTACCGGAGATAGCACTTTTTTATGTTGCACGGTGTGACCACGTGCCGCATAGCTGTTTCTTAGATCTTTTTGACCGAACATTTTTTGTCTTTGTTGAGTTCATTTTCGAATTTTGGTGAAGGAATTACAGTCCAGCGTTTTTTATCGTTCTTACTTGCACCCATCGACTTGTGAGAAACAATGTTGATCTGCTGTCCAGTTCTGATAGCACCTGCGAACCGCGTATCGCAGAGCTTTGCATGTTACTAATGTGTACCACGAGTACCCATTTACCTCCAACGCAAGGTTTGTCAGGAAGCTGCCGGTTCAGGTACGTTTCCTGGCATAAGTCTCATGCCTTGCTAGAAAAGTACTGGCTCTTGGATAGCCCCTGGTTCCTCAACTAATGACGAAGCAGGAAGCAATGAGGGCGCAATGAATTTAGTTAACTGCTTATACCTAGTGCTTCTGGAATATTCTTCACAATGGCCTAGTCATACCTTTTCCTGCCAACGCGAGGATTGACCTGAATAGCATAGTCTCGAACTTCAGCATATACAGATTAACCGCTTCGCCGTGCAAGAATCTTTCTCCCAATGAACGCTCGAAACCGTGTTACCTGGCATTTACGCGCCCAATTCCTCAATTCAGCCTAATAGCTGTCTTCGCAGGGACCTTTCCTCGGATGAAACGACGCGTCCTTGATAAGGAGGGGTACTTCCTCCAGTGCATTTACGTCAATCCGACTCTGATGGGCGTTCACTCATGCGTTTTTCATTCTTCCGTGCAGCCACCCTTCTGCTACCTGAACTCTTAAGCGTGCGTTGGAGGAGGCGAATCGCAGCCCATTTTGTTGCGTTTATGGGTGCTTTGGTGCGCGGCCGCCTAACCAGCGCCGTTGAGAAAGCGGGACTCCACTCGAGGGCTGCAGAACGCAGTTCGATGCTCGTAGTGCAGCCATCGCACTAACACCCCGCCACACTTACCGGTACCTGAGGTTCTCCGGCTTCGCTGCTGGTCTGAGCCTTTGGTGCCTTCCTTTCAGACAGCGCTAAGCAGAGGGGACGATCCAGCAACGGTCGCTTAGTCGTGTCTGATTTGGTGGCAAGCCAGCTCTTCGGTTTCCCGAAGCTGATGACTTGAATGCAATCTCGTTAAGCTGACCGCGACTCAGTTCAGCGCCGTGGTGACGCACATAAGTCCGACAGTCGATGCTGCATTCTCTGTTCGGCAAGCGAGCTGTATTGTGTGGAGTGAATGATTCTATGGGGAAGAAAGGATGAATCGTACAAGTCTCGTTCGTCTGAAGGGCAGGCATTTCTGTCCGAATGCTGCAAGTACAACCAGACTCTGAAGCAGCGTTTGTTTCTGGCGTTTGGCAGGAGTGCGCGTGTCGGGAGCTCGTATTCGAAAGGATATGGGTTTGACGGTTTTCAGGGCAGCAGGCTTCACTGATGTTCACGTGAGCATGGTGATTAGGGACGTTCTTGGCGGTTTCCCTGACATCTCAACTCAGTGTGGCGGAGCACTGCACGGCAGTGTGGAATAGCCACTCAGCAAACTTGGGAGTGGCATGCCTGTTTGCGTGAAACCAATGTGCTGGTTCGTGTGGAGTGGAGGTAACGCGGGCAAGGCGTAGGTGGCGAGTGTCTGTGTAGCGTGGAGAGGGGTTGCTTGAGGGTTGTGGCAATGTAGTGAAGGATGCTCTGCTTTATCTTCCTTCGAGCACCGCATTTGACTTACCCGTGGGAATGTGGTTTTGCAGGGGAAGGAAATAAAGGTCGCAGTCTGCAGCGTTGGAGCCATCAATCGCTGGGCACAGGGCTGTACTTCTGTGAGGTTTGTCGCCTTCGTGGCAGTGGGCTTCTCAGGCAAAGACTGTGACTACAGTTTATTCAAACGCAGCTCTGCGCTTCGTACAGTGAAAACAACCGAC